TCACATGGGTGGCAAGCCACTCCCATCCGGTCACATGGGTGGCAAGCCACTCCCACAAAGGAGGTGACACCCACAGAGTAGGTTCAAACAATTTTTGAAACCCACCACTGCTAAGCACCCACCCACACATACATTGAACAATACTGAGGAATTTCCCCCCCCCTCCAGTCGCTTAAAAAAAAAACATGGCAACAACGCCTAACTTCCCTGCCTTCATGTCGGAAAAAGAACCTTGGGAAACATTCCTTGAGAGGTTTGAATGCTTCGTGATTGTGAACAACTTTGCTGAAATTTCCTCTGAAAGGAAGCAAGGTTATTTCCTGAGTTCATGTGAGCCAGAGATGTTCTTCCACAGTTCAAGCCCTAGCTGCTCCAGCTCCTGTGCATTAAGTACCATGGCAACTGTTAATCAGTAAGTTAAAAAATCATTATGCTCCGGCACCATCTCGCATAGCCCGTAGGCATGCGTTCCCCAAATGTACACAAGGTGAAGGAGAGATAATTAGCCAATACATGGCTGCACTGAGGAATTCAACCATACACTGCCAATTCCGAAACCTCGATGAGGCTCTCCTTGAGCAATTGGTGTGTGGTGTAAAAGATCTGCGACTCCAACGTCGAGTGTTAGCTCGATCTGAGCTAACATTGCAAATTGATCTGGATGAGGCTAGAGCCACGGAACAAGAGAGCTGCAGAGATTCAGAGATACCAGGCAGGTTACAGCCAATCCTCATCCTTAGCAGCTGTGAACCAATAATATGAGGGAGGCGGTTCAATGGAGGGTGACAACGATAACATTAGTCGCCCCAAAGCCAACACGGGAAATCGTTGGAATACACAGCTAAGAGCTCCCTCTAACATCGATGGTGTTACCTAGTTTGGTAAGAGCTGAGGTGGCGCAGTGGTTAGGGTGCAATACTGCAGGCCACTTCAGCTGACCGTTATCTGCAGTTCAGCGGTTCTAATCTCACTGGCTCAAGGTTCACTCAGTCTTCCATCCTTCCGAGGTGGGTGAAATGAGGACCCAGACTGTGGGGGCGATATGCTGACTCTGTAAACCGCTTAGAGAGGGCTGAAAGCCCTATGAAGCGGTATATAAGTCTAACTGCTATTGCTATGGTAATGAAATGTCTGCAAGTAAACAACCAAGATCAAGAGCACCAAGCATTCCATAGTTTGATTCTGAGATATGTTCTCTTCCATGGGAATCTGTCTGCTTGCCTACAATTTTTCTTTTTTATTAAAAAAAAATTCTTTACCATTTTTTTTTATTTTTCACAGGGGTATCTCTGAGTGCACTCCCAATGTATTTGAGTGAAATTTCTCCCAAGCAGATCCGTGGGTCACTAGGACAAATTACAGCAATTTTCATCTGTATTGGTGTTTTCAGTGGACAGGTTTTGGGGTTACCTGAGATATTTGGAAAGGTCTGTAATAATTCTGAATTATTTATTCATTTTTGCACCCTGTGTAAATTGAGATTGAAATCCCATTAATTAGAAACAGATAAATGATGTTCCGATATTCTTTACTATAATATCTGATAACAAGACTTATTTACAATCTTGTGTAAATAAGTAGAAGTTGAACAACTTCTGTTCATTTTTGCTGGATAATTTTTGATAAGACATGAGTTTTTTAAAAAAATAAAAAAATCTTTTTAGTGTCAATTTTAAGAGAAAATGTAAGAATAGAAACTACATTCATCAGCATTCCTAACTTTACACTTATTGGTGGTGTTGACATTCACAGTAAAAAGTAATTATTGTCAGGTTACATAATTGATATTCTTCTGGCTATAGAGCATCTGTTCTTTACTGAACTGTGAATTTTGCCCATGTTAGGCAGGGGGGCCTACTAATTTTCTTGACCGTTTACAGGAATCCCTGTGGCCTTATCTGTTTGCAATGATTATTGTTCCATCAACTCTCCAAGTTGGAGTCCTGCCTTTTCTTCCAGAAAGTCCTCGCTTCCTCTTACTTGAAAAAAACGACACAAAAGCAGCAGAAAAAGGTACTGTCACATTCATATTTTATCTCAATTGATCCTATTGTTCACCTGGTTGAAAAGCAAAGATCATAAGCACAAATGCAATATTGTTGTGGGTGGCAGTCTTCAGGAGCACTACATGCTGATATATGGCCTGTAGGGTGCTTCTCCAATCTTTTAGGTTTGATAACATATCAACAACAAAAAAAGCCATGCCTTGTTCAAAAGTTAGCCTTGATCTGCCTAAAGGAAACCATCATTGTATTATGGCATTTTTGCATATTCTCTCCTGCTGGAAACAGTCTTTGTCTATGGAGATAGACAAAGACTTTCTCAGTCACCCAGGTCATGGTTGTCCCAAAGGCAGAATGAGATGTTTAGGCACGGACCCTTGGCCGTGCCTCCTTCGCCTCCAGCCACCCGCCTCAGCCCATTCACAGCCAGCTTTCTTCCTTTGCTGGCCATCCTCCTCCAACCATTCTCCATAGCCAATGGGTCCCTGGCCCTCCATCCCTTGTCCTTTGGCCTGGTCCATTTGCCCAGACATTGTTTGACCCTGGCCTTTGGCTGTACAGAAAACAAGATGTGTTCTGGAAAACACAGATTTTCCGGAACACATCTAACCGGTTTGCTGAACTCAGCAAAAAATTAACTACTGGTTCTACTGAACTGGATTGAACCGGCTGAATCCTACTGCTGGGCCCATTGGCAGTGAAGAATGGCCAGGGGTGGGCCAGTGGAGGAGGAAAGCTGGTTGTGAATGGGCAGAGATGGGTGGCTGGAGGTGAAGGAGGCATGCCCAATGGTGGGAGTGTAAAGGTCCTAGACCAGTGTTGGCAAACCTTTTCGGCACTGAGTGCCAAAATGGAAGTGTGTGTGCATATGCTGGAAACCAGAAGAGCAGCTGCCCGATGTACATGAACATGCCGGGAAGATGAACTTCTGGTTTCCGGCACACACATGTGCACCTGCCACCTGATCTTCCAGTTTCTGGCATGCATGCATGCATGCCCGAAGACCAACTGGCTGGTGCTATGCACATGCCAGAAACCGGAAGATCATCTTCCCGGCGCTACATGGTGTGGTTGTCCTATTGTTTGCTTGTTTATTTGATTGATTGATTTCTGTCCAGAGGAAAAACAAAGCTTAAAACAACTAAAAAATAATTTAAATAATATAACTTTACATTATATAAACTATAAACTAGCTCAGACAGAAAAGACTGGTAAAAAGAAAGATTGGTTAATTTGCCATTGTCTTCCATAGTTTGGAATAAATATAGTAATTTTTAATAGATGTGTGACCAGTTGAATCTAGTCAGAAGTAAATGTCTTTAGCTTAATTCCAGGAGAAGTAAATATAAGATTGCAGTTTAGATTTGACTGTGCTTCTAAATTTCTACTTACAAGGAACCATCTTAGTTATTATATTACCTGATTTTGCCAACAAATAAAGATATAAAATCATGTTATATTGTTGCATAATAATGAAAAAAAGATGTGAATAAGATGTGTACAGTTACAAATATTTAGAAATATGTTGGAAATAGAATATGTAACATAATCGTTACAATATGCTGTTATTTTAAATGCATGAACAAGAGCAGCAGATTTAGAATTTACAAAATTGCAATATGTTGGCCCTGAAATGAAACTTGTAAATATTTGTGGAGTTATTATTGAATAATGTGGAATCATTATTTGCTATTTATTTGAGTAAACCCAAACATTACTGATGAAGCTGACATATTTTACTGAAGGGTCTGTTTTTGAAAGATAAAAAGATAAATGTTTGGTGTAAATTGCAATCTGATGTGTAAAATGTGTAATTGATGTACAATTTGGTGTAAAGTACAGTTTCATGTGAATAATACTAATTGTGTATTAATTGTATGAACTGTGGGCTTCCAGCATTTCAGAAATTCCTTGGAAAATCTGACGTGTCACATGAAATAGAGGAAATTCAGAAAGAGAGTCGAGTAGAGAGAAACATTCAAGTAGCATCTGTATTTCAACTTTTGCGTGACAACACTAAGCGGTGGCAGATTCTCACTGTGGTTGTTATGATGGCTTGCTATCAACTTTGTGGCCTTAATGCTGTAAGTCGTTATATGAAATATGTATTTAATTATTGCTTTCACAGCCCACCTTTTCTTTAAAATATCAAGTAATTTATAATGGCATTCCCTCAACATCAAAATCTGGGAGATCAGTTGGCCAAGAGATATATGACCTGTCCCTTTCCTGCTTTTACTCCAGCTCTAAACCACTGATCACACAAATCCTCACTTGCTTTTGTTTGTGTTTTTCCTCTTTCCCCCTCCCCTTCTTGAAAATATATGAAAGGCAAATCTGCTATTAACAGAATAATGCAGTTGGACGGGACCATGGATTTTTCCCAGTCCAACCCCCTGCTCAAGCAGGAAACTCTATAGTACCGATCCTCAACTATGGCCCACAGGCTGGATATGGTCTGCCAATGCAAAGTATCTGGCCCACGGAGTGGTGGAATTTAGCCCCGCCCCTCACCCCGCCCCTTGCCTTATCTTCCAGAGAGCATCCAGTCCAGCTTTACTTCTAGTTAGTTATTTCACCGATTGAGCTGCACTTCTGATCACACTGCTGCTGCTGAAGATACGGCCGAAGGGTTCGGGGGAGGGTCAGCTGACTGAGGGGTGATCTCGCCAGTGTAGCCACGTGATCCAGGGCCAGTGGGTGAGTAAGGGAGGGGTTACTGCTGGCTTGGAAAGCAGCTGCCATCTTGTAAAGTAGAGCTTTAAAAATGCTTTAAAAACAGCCTTTCAGGATGTTTTTCACAGCCATATGATTCAGGGCTAGTGGGTGAGTAGGGGAGGGGCAGGTACAGAAAGGACAAAGGCAAAATGGACTGCTAAATTGGCCACACCCACCCAGTCACATGACCAACTGTCTGAGGGACCATGAATCAGCCCCCTGTTTCAAAAGTTTGAGGACCCCTCCTCTATAGCATTTCAGACAAATGGTTATACAATCTCTTCTTAAATACCTCACGTTGGAGCACCCACAACTTCTAGAGGCAAGTCATTCCACTGATTAATTGTACTAACCGTCAGGAAATTTCTCTTTAATTCTTGGTTGGTTCTCTCCTTGATTAGTTTCCATCCATGGAAACTAAGATGGCTTCTTGTTCTGCCATCAGATGCTTTGGAAGATAGGTTGACCCCCTCTTCTTTGTGGCAGGGCCTTGGATATTGGAATTCTGCTATCATATCACTTGTAGTTCTTCTTTTCATTAAACTAAAATGGATCAAATTTCTGCAACCGTTCTTCATATGTTTTACCCTCCAATCCCCTAATCATCTCTCTGCACTCTTTCTAGAGTCTCGATATCTTTTTTATAAATTGGATGCAATATTCTAAGTGTGGTCTTACACACTTATTAGAAAGTGGTTTTAACACTTCACATGATCTTAATTCCTTCCGTCTTAAGGTAGATTATGATTGTGTTTTTTGGTAGCTGCAGCACACTGCTGGCTGATACTTAAGTGATTGTCCACTAGGATTGTCCACTTGTGACTGTAGCTTGGTGTTTGGAGGTCTGGTGACAGAGTGAGCATGGTCAACTGGTATCATGCCCACTCAGTCACATGAACCAAGCCACGCCCACATAACCTGGAATGAAAATTAATGAATTTAATGAATTTCTATTCTACCTATTTTCTGCCTAGGCCTGGCCTAATCTGTCAAAGGCCTCCCGCTCTCCCTTCACCACACGACATGTCCTTACCTTCCTCCTGTGGCTGGCTGCCAGGGAAGGCAATCAAGGGCTATTGCTGCCAGCCCACATTTTGCCCCCCTTGTCATGAGATGCTGGCAGCCACAGCCTCTTTTTTTCTATGCACCTGGAGGTGCTTCTTGTGTTGAAAGATGCAGCGGCTGCAGGCTTCTTGCAGCGAAAATTAACGGAGCCGCTTCGCTTCTTCAACATGCTGCACTGCTGCCCTGTTCCACGCGCCAGCCATGCACGTACACCCCATTGCTTGCTTGTGCCACTCCGCTCTGACTTGCCTAGGCCCATGTTAGCACTGCTGATTTGCGAGCTGCACTGGTTACCAGTCTGGTTCTGGATGCAATTCAAGATGTCACTCATCCCCTTTAATGGTCCTTCTCTACCATGACACCTGCCCTCTGCAACATCTTAACCCCCTGAGGTGAGATTGGCTCCCACCATCCTGATGTTTCAAAAGAGCCTCAAGATTTAGCTCTGCCAGATAGCTTGGAAACCCAATGCGGGAACTTCATACTGGAGGTGGTTATTAATTAAAATCTAATAGCAATAGCACTTAGACATATATACCATAGGGCTTTACAGCACTCTCTAAATCTTTTATTGAGTCAGCATATTGCCCCCAACAATCTGAGTCCTCATTTTACCGCCCTTGGAAGGATGAAAGGCTGAGTCAACCTTCAGCCAGTCAGAATTGAACTCCTGGCAGTCAGCAGTGAGTTAGTCTGCAATAGTGCATTCTGACTATTGTGCCACCACCGCCCATCACACTTCCTCACCCTTTGTGTGTCTGGCTCCCACCTTTCCATCTGGTCTTAATGGTTTGTGATTGTGTGCTATGACTTGTATGCTATGACTTGACTTTAATGTCTTTTCTGCTTTAATGTTTTATGCTGTAAGCTGCCCAAAGTCATTGGATATGAGATAGGTAGCAAATAAATTTCCTAAACCAACAAGCAGCCATTCAAAAAAATTGCTTTATAAACTGGGAACGTGAGCACAGGGCAATTCAAAGTAGTTGTACTTTTGCTATGATTCATTAAAGCAGCTGTACCTTTTTTCAGGTTCATGCAGAAAGCTACAAAGAGACAGCAACTACTTTAAAGAGGTGCTGGGCTCATGCTTCCCTCAGGTCCAAAATGTTTTTTTTCCAAATTGTTTTTGAAGTCCTTCCCTTCTTCCTTCCCCTTCCCTTCCACTCCCTTCCCTGGAAAGTAAATCCCCAGTCAGGGCTTGTGGCAAACGCAGTCTAACCATCACTGGCCAAAGTGAAAATGAATGAAATGAATGAATGAAATTGATTGAAATCCAGAAAGGGGTTTGTTAAGCGGTTTAATTTTTGTCCTGGTGTCAAGGAGCTGAAAGCTGAGGTACAGGAGAACCTTACAACAGCCTACATTATCCTTTTTTCTCTTTGTGGTTTGATTGTTGGTTGTTCAGCTAAATGAAAATAAGGGTGATGGATTCTTTCCTCATATCCCACAAAAATGTCCTTCATCATGTATAAGAAGAGCATTCACCACTTTCTATTCTGATCCTTTTCTCTCATTTTTGGGGTGGGAAAATATTAATGTGCTGACACTGGAAAATGGACAAAAACAAAACTCAAGCTTAGAGTGAATAGTATTGTTTCTATTCATTTTGGTGTTGTTTTGAAGCAACCTGATAAATATTTCGCATTGTCTTCAATAATATACCTAGATACAAATGTTTTCAACATTGTGATGTCCATAGGCTGGACATTTAGAGTTTATGGAGAGCTATTTTGACAATTTCCAGACCATCATTAAATGTATGTATATATGTAGAACTTAGAATTTGATAGGGTCAAATAATTTTTTTTTGAAACCCAATAATGGAAAGTGGCTTCTATTCCAGATTTGGTTCTACACAAATGACATTTTCAGGGGAGCTGGCCTAAGTCCTGAAACGATACCATATGTTATCTTAAGCACAGGAGCTGTGGAGATCTTGGCTGCTCTTTTCTCAGTAAGTGTGTGGTGCATTGTAAAACCCATAGAAATGTATAAGGAGTATATAATTTAGAATAAAATCTTTTTCAGTTTCCATCTTAGTTTTGAACTGGCAATAAGGAAATAAAAAGACTGAATCTTATAAAAATCTTCAGTAGAAACCAGGAGTTTATGAGTACTGATCCTGCCTCAGGCATAAAAGCTGCATGGATGACTTTGGACCAGTCACACACTCTCAACCCAACTCACCACACAGGATTGTCATTATGGGGAAAAATAGGAGGAGGAAGGAATATTATGTATGTTTGCTGCCTTGAGTTACTTATAAAGCAATAAAGGCAGGATAAAAATCTAATTAAAATATGTGCATAACGCTTCAGAGTGAATAGCAGACATAGTTCACCATCTCAAAGATTTTACTTGTTTTGAAAATCTGAGGGGAAAATGGTTAATCAGGTAAGCAACTGAGATTGTATCTAATGTTTTGTTACAAACTTAGGAGTTTGATCTTTTGAATAGATCAATATTTATTAATATTTTTTTAATCATGAGTGGCATGAAGAAATGTACTCCATAACACAGTAATGAAAAAAATGGATGTTACTAATGACAATTAATTTATGTTAAAATATAGAGAGCTAATTTTAGCGTGTAAGAACTCTTGGCTTTACTTGAAATGTACATTTTAATCTTTGGTTGAAATAATTGGAATGGCTCTTTGAAGAATATTGGAACTTCCAAGAAAACATGTTTAGGATTACACTTGAACTTTTGGTTAGATAAAACTGTTACCTATACCAGGGATCCCCAACCCCCAGTTCACAGACCAATGCTGGTCTGCGGTCCTTTGGGAATTCGGCCACTCAAGTGGCAGGGAATCAGGTGAAGCTCCATTTATGCAAGTGGTGGGCACATACCCTCTCCCCCCTCCACTATCACTGCTGGTCAGCAGAGCCAGAAAAGTTGGGGAACATTGACCTATACCATTTGAAGATTTCTTATTAACCTCTACCATTCAAAGATATTTTCCTTAAAGACAATTTTTTTGTTACTGAGGAAAACACTAAAAAAAGCCATACTTTGCGAACAACTGGCTGAAGCATTTGTTTTAAAGCTATTAGGAGAAAGAAATATGCATAATACTTCGTATGAAACTGCCATTTGTAGAATGCCAAGAATGCCACTTCTTTACATGTAGAGAGGTTGCCACTAACAACTCAAGCTTTTATCATTCTGACTGTTGAACACCATGAGATATTGAACTCTACTTACAAAATATATTTATATGTTGCTACTAATACATTATTATTCTAATTGCTATTCTAATAATGTATTAATATACATTGTAATAATGTAGCTGAAGATGGAATGTGAGGTCATGAGTATATAGGAGCAAAAAGAAATTTTAAAAGGTTATTATTTTTAGAGTATAGAAATATAGTAATTGATATTGGTTCAGGTCTGTTGCTGGTGTTAACCCTCTGGAAGCCATTTTTTTCTTTGGAGCTTCTAGGCTGCCACATTTAGTTCCTGGGAAAACGGGAGAGGGGATTACAAGGAGTCGGTGGAGGATTAGCCATAACAACATTCCTTTCTTTGGGAATCAAGGACATTTGGCCTGCACCTGGATGGGAGTGACTCGGGGTTGTCTCCAGTTGGGATGGTGAATTGATTGGATCATGTGATGGACTTGTGGGTGCAGGGGATGGATCTTTGACTTTCTTTTGGGTGGGGAAAACCCAGAACTCTCAGATTCGAGTTTTCCCAGATGTGCCAATATGACATCTCTAATAAAATGGAACTTTGAGGAACTTCAAGCCTTGGAATCTTCTTTCATTGGGGGTGACTTGGAATCCTGACAGCTGGTTGCAAACTTGCTGGTTTTAAGCACTGCAAGCATGCGAAAGTTGCCAAGATTTAATTAGAATTTTGATCTGATTTCATACATTTGAATCTGTGCTTTGCTGGGTTGAATTCAAATAATCAGATCAGTTTTATTCACAAATCTGATTCATTTTGATCAAGCAGGAAAGTGTAAAACACATTACAGAACAATAGAGGTTGGAGTATGAAAGTGTATACAAACCTTTGGAACTCTTGTACATTGAATTGGAAATTAGAAGCTCAAAGACAATTCTAATTTTGAACCAAGTGCATAATAAACCTACTAGCTTTAGGAGTCAGATTCTGCTAAAGGAGGAATAAAGGGACAGACTAGGACATTGAGTTAAAAAGATAAAGTATTCTATAAAGTTAGAAGGCCAAAATTCAAACCTGTCGTTTATACATTGATTTAAGAACAGTTAAGTTTTCAGTTTATGTATGGGGATTACTCTTGATTTGCCTTGTAAAAAGCTAAGTACTATGAATTGAATGAGTTGCTTAAGGATGATTCTGTTCTACTAGGGTTTTAGGATTAACCATCTATTTTTTCTTCAGGGTTTAGTGATTGAAAGAGTTGGGCGCAGACCTCTTTTGATTGGGGGATTTGGTTTGATGGTTTTCTTCTTCGTCATACTTACTCTGTGTATGAGTCTACAGGTCTGTATATATTAATCGATCTATTTTCTTTTAAATATGTGAAATCATCAGGTTTAAACATTCTTTTTAATCATTCTTATATGCAACAAATATTAGATCTTTTCTGTACAACCTTGAATTAGAATAATGAAAAATACTAATTTTCTTTTGTGAACAATATTTAAGAAGCAAGTTCAAACTTTACATTAAAAATATTACTGTAGTTTACAGGATTTGTAGTGTAACAAACTCAGGCATAACAATGAAGTGTTCCCCCTGATATATATCTGCATTATATTTTTTGCAATAAAACCTTCCCAGTTTTATTTATAGTAAACTGAAAAACATAGAAATGTTTCAGAACCATTATGACAAACCATGGTTTTAAACTATGTCTTCACTAGTCCTAATTTCCAGTTTTAAATAAAATCTTCTTTTCAAAGATTAAATCATACCATTCAGCATCACAGCTATGGAGGTAGTGAAAATTGCCTTGAAGCATATATGTTTGTTCGACTTTTCCAAAGATCTGGGAATGCTCTGCATAGCTGTCTGCCCAAGAGCCCTTTTAGCCTGATCGTACAGATCTTGACAAACATGCTAGGTGCTGTATTAGTGAGTTGCCCTTCTTGCTTGTGAAGATTGATTTTTTTTTTTCATATTCTTATGACATTTGAATGTCAGAGCATTTCCATCAGTCTTGAATAACAAGGGGGGAAACTAGAATTTAAACTTTGGGTTCAACGAAATCCATTTCTGATGGAAATAGCAATAGCAATAGCAGTTAGACTTACATACCGCTTAATAGGGCTTTCAGCCCTCTCTAAGTGATTTACAGAGTCAGCATATCGCCCCCACAGTCTGGGTCCTCATTTTACCCACCTCGGAAGGATGGAAGGCTGAGTCAACCCTGAGCCGGTGAGATTTGAACCGCCGAACTGCAGAGAACAGTCAGCTGAAGTGGCCTGCAGTACAGCACTCTAACCACTGCGCCACCTCGGCTCTAAGCATGTCTCTCTCTAAGCAATGCTAAGCAATCCAACAGTCTTAGTTCTGGGTAATCAGAGACTATGATTAGGTATGACCTTGGCTGATTTTGACAGGAGGAGATAGAGCTTGAAGGACACTGAACTAGAAAGCTGCCACACGCAAGGGCCTGCCCTCTCTCTTTTCGAATGTCTTCAACTGATTAGTCTCAGCCTGTAAAGAGTGTTTCTGTTATTGTTCCTTTAATCTGAGTAATAAAGCTGGGATTTATTTGCTACTGTTCTGTAGGGAGAACGAGGCAGACAGGAACTGAGGCAAGGCAGGTTGAAGCTAACACAACCTTTATTTACAATAACATACAGCTCAGTGTAAGGCAAACCTCGAACCGGCAAACAGCAAAAACATTTGACAGCTGACAGCCCTTATACTAGAGCTGTCAGACGCTTAACCAATAGGGAAGCTGGATTCTCCCGCCAGCTGGTTGCTCGCGTCTTAGCCAATCAGGAGCTAGCAATGCAAGTCAATGTCGTTGAAGCCTCGAGGATTTGACAGCAACCTATGACATATTAATGACTAGAGTTTATTATTCTAAGCAGGTATTAGATGGCATAAAGATTTCCAAAGATATGGTATCCGCAAAGTGGTCTTTGTATCACTCTGCAAATGTTCTTGTTTTCTACAAGCAGTCTGAGAATCTCTTTGTATTTGATTTGCAATTTTTTTAAAATAATTGCCCAATAATTATTCTAAAATCAAATAAAAAAGATACAATTTGAATGAAACACAAATAATAATACATAAAATAAAAACACCATATAAATTACTGTAGGTTTACAAAAAATAATTAATTTTTAATGTTATCTATATTTTTCAGGAACAAGCAGTCTGGCTTCGATATCTCAGTATATTCTGCATTCTTGCAATCATTGCCTCATTTTGCATCGGACCAGGTAATGACTATCTTTTCAAAGATGCTCTGAGTTGTGATGGTTTTTCTAATATAATTAATCCGCTCATAATATGCCCTGTAAAGTTGGATTAGGGTGGGGTAAAAGAGGAAATACAAAATCTCTGTAATAGTATAAAGTATTATGTTCTTCAGGTGATAATAGATATATTTGGGGCAGTTGAGAAAGAATACTTACTAGGTTACATGTATCTAAGAATAATAATACACTGTATAACATTATTATATGCAAATGCTATATATTATGTTATTTTAATGATTAGACTGTTATATACTTTTGAGAGTGTCAGCTTGTAGCGATCATATAGATCTTCCCTAGGATGATTGGTCACCCACTTGGCCCTTCAGATCTTGCAATGGTGCACCCATTGCCCTTGTAATCATATAGTATATGATTATAAATCTAAATATATAAATATTCCTGATGTAGGAGAGGCACGCAGTTCTCCTGCCTCATAGTAGAAGGTGCTTTTTAGAGGCTTTTTTAAGCAGTTAAGCAGAGTAATCCATGGTGAGGCAGGCTCAGGCAACAACTAGCTTAGCCTGATCTCAGGTCTCACCTTTTTCCTTTCAGATTTTTTTTTCTTTTCATGACGACAGTGGTGAGGCTCTGCCTCCCCTGACTGCACGTCACTGCTCCTGAGTATACTATAGCAATAGGTTCCTGGCCTGAATAGACCTCAAGCCTCTGTTTTTCTTATTTAGGTTTATGAAACACCTGATTTTTGTCTCTTTCTTGCAGGTGGAATTCCATTTATCCTCACCGCAGAGCTCTTTCCACAGTCTCAAAGGCCAGCAGCATTTATGATTGCTGGAATAACCAACTGGCTCTGCAATTTCATAGTTGGACTCCTTTTCCCTTTCATTCAGGTATGGGCTCCGAATTACAGAAGGTACCAGAACATTTTAGAAAGGGCAAAGTGTGATTTGCAATGAAATCAATATGTAACCCTCTCAATCTATTTATAGTGCCTTTTTTCAGTGTTTTAAAACTTCTGATTTATTTTTTATTTAAAAAAGAATAGTTTATAAGTCATTACATGCAAACTATCAAGGGTCGGGGACATAAAAATAAAAACATAGGGAAATTTAGATAAAAATTAACAGAAGAATTAATTGAAACATACACAGGAAAAGATGAGGCTCTGAAAAGATATAGAGCATGTTGATCTGTTCCTGGTTATGAGGCAACTTAAGATAAAGAAGTGCCAGTTTGCATAAAACACACAAAACCTCTTTAAAGCATCCAAAAACAAGAAACCACAAGCTCCCTTGGTAACTTATACAAATTTTATTTAAGGATTTTTTTTTTGTTAAGTAAGGTCAGTTAAGAGGTAGGACACGTCATTCCAGAGAACTGTTTATTTATAAGCAGGAGAAAAATCAGGGATCAAACTGCCCAGCAGCTTCCTCTTGAAGGGAGCTGTCCAGCACATTCAGCCACTGACAGCTCTCCAATTTCTGGGAAATTGGGTCAATCATGGTGGCTTTAGCTGTTCCCTCGAATTTACATATGCAACACCCTTCCGCGCCTAGCAGGAGCGTCCATCAATCACTCAACTTACATAGTCATGCAGATAGGTGGGCGTGACCTGACATGTGCAGTCCAGTTGCTTCAGCAGCAGCAGCTGGAATAGTCAGGTCTGCTGCCGCTCCTGAGTCTCCTGGTGGAATCATCTGGGGCTCAGCCTGGGGCATGGCCGAGTCCACCCCACCCAGTTCCTTTAAACCTCCTCATTGGATACTGTGGTCCTCAGATAAGTGGGTGCATGCTTGGTTCGGGTTTGAGAGTAGTGTAGGTGTGTTTCTTGTTTGGCCTTCTGGGTGCGTCTCCTGATGGAGTTATGTTAGGGTTTTCCTTTCGCCCCCAGAGTTGGTCAATATGCCTCCTCCAGACTGTACCATCAGTCAACTCTGCTCGGTAGGATTGAGGTCCGGTTATATTTATTATTTTGCCCGGAACCCAGGTTGCAGCCCCTGTATAATTCCGGGCATAAACTACAACTAACACCCCCTTTTCACCCTTATTTTTATGACCATCGAAAATAGTTCTAATCAACTTTCCTACATAATTTTGTATGCAATTAAATAGCACAGTTTTAATACGACCAGAGCTAAGGGTTAATAATATGTGGGGATAGTCCAAAATAGTTTGGGCTGGATGATTTTCTACAGGTTTTATTGTTTTTAAACTAGAGAAATCAAAATGTGGTGCTCAGCATTAAAGCATATTATGAAATGCTGGTAATAGAAGGCATGTGTTTAGTCAAAGGAAGATGTTCTTATACATTTGTAGACCAAGACTGTCTTGAGATCTGTGGTAGGAATCTTGATAATCCAGGTTTCATTTTGCTTTGTGTTTTCAGGAAGGGTTGCAAACATACTGTTTTCTGGTTTTTGCTGCCATCTGTCTTGTTGGAGCCACTTTCCTTTTCTGGGTTTTACCAGAAACAAAAAAGAAAACACTTGCTGAAATCAACCAGGCATTTGCCAAGAAGAAAATGCCTCTGGAAACCCAGGAAATGGGTCATTTTGATCCTAAGGGAAAATCAAGTGAAGTACAAGAATCCAATTTTTGTCATTCATTGGGAAATGAAAAAAGCAAAGGTGATATGGCCTAAATTCAATTTTTATATTTTTAAATTCAATTTTTACATATATTTTTTTTGCATTTTAACTATTTATTAATTGTCTTGTGGTTGGAGAGAAATTGTGACCAGAGTTGATAAAGAGTCAAAAAATGACAAACTGCCTTATTTGAGCAAGATCATTGATTCATTTAACTATGCAAACTGTCAAGCCGGCCTCCCTCAGCAACCAAGAAAGAAACCACTTAACTCCATTTTGCAGAATTAAGAGTACTTTTACTG